AAAATAAAAAGGCGGGAAAATAATAAAAGGTGGGGAAATAAAAGGTGAGAAAATAAAAGGCGGGAAAATAATAAATGGCGGGAAAATGAAAGGCGGGAAAATGAAAGGCGGGAAAATAAAAAGGCGGGAAAATAATAAAAGGTGGGGAAATAAAAGGTGAGAAAATAAAAGGCGGGAAAATAATAAATGGCGGGAAAATGAAAGGCGGGAAAATGAAAGGCGGGAAAATAAAAAGGCGGGAAAATAATAAAAGGTGGGGAAATAAAAGGTGAGAAAATAAAAGGCGGGAAAATAATAAAAGGTTGGGAAATAAAAGGGCGGGAAAATAAAAGGCGGGAAAATAAAAGGCGGGAAAATAAAAGGCGGGAAAATAAAAGGCGGGAAAATAAAAGGCGGGAAAATAAAAGGCGGGAAAATAAAAGGCAGGAAAATAAAATGCGGGAAAAAAACGTTGGGAAAATGAAAGGGCGGGAAAATAAAAAGGCGGGAAAATAATAAATGGCGGGGAAATAAAAAGTGGGGAAATAAAGGCGGGGAAATAAAAGGGTGAGAAAATAAAAGGCGGGAAAATAAAATGCAGGGAAATAAAAGGCGGGAAAATAAAAGGCGGGAAAATAAAAGGCAGGAAAATAAAATGCGGGAAAAAAACGTTGGGAAAATGAAAGGGCGGGAAAATAAAAGGGCGGGAAAATAAAAGGGCGGGAAATTAAAAGGGCGGGAAAATAAAAAGGGGGACAGGGACAGGAGAACAGGGACAGGGACAGGGGGACGGGGGGACAGGGAAAGGGGGACAGGGACAGGAGAACAGGGACAGGGACAGGGGGACAGGGACACAGAACAAGGACAGCAGGACAGGGACAGGGGACAGAGGGACAGGGACAGGGGGACAGGAACAGGAGGACAGGGAGACAGGAGGACAGGGGACAGGGGGACAGGGGACAGGAGGACAGGGGGACAGGAGAACAAGGGGACAGGGGAACAGGGACAGGAGGACAGGAGGACAGGGGGACAGGAGGACAGGGGGACAGGGACAGGAGGACAAGGGGACAGGGGGACAGGAACAGGTGTCCAGGCACCACCACGGGGTCCCCGGAGCGGGTGACACCCGCAGCAGGTGTCCGCGGGCCCCGGGGGCGTCACCTTGCGGGATCTGCGTGGCCAGCGGGGACGAGATGGTGACAAAGTGACGCTCGGGACAGCCGTAGTGCACCGGCATCTGCCGGCCCTTGCCGGGGTCGCTGGCGTTGCCGTAGCACTGCGCCATGAACAGCTCCAGGGGGTAACCCCGGTACAGCAGCACACCTGGGGACAGGGGAGGGACACACCTGTCACACCTGGGGCCACCTGTCACACCTGGGGACAGGGGAGGGACACCCCTGTCACACCTGGGGACAGGGGAGGGACACCCCTGTCACACCTGGGGACAGGGGAGGGACACCCCTGTCACACCTGGGGACAGGGGAGGGACACCCCTGTCACACCTGGGGACAGGGGAGGGACACCCCTGTCACACCTGGGGACAGGGGAGGGACACCCCTGTCACACCTGGGGACAGGGGAGGGACACCCCTGTCACACCTGGGGACAGGGGAGGGACACCCCTGTCACACCTGGGGACAGGGGAGGGACACCCCTGTCACACCTGGGGACAGGGGAGGGACACCCCTGTCACACCTGGGGACAGGGGAGGGACACCCCTGTCACACCTGGGGACAGGGGAGGGACACCCCTGTCACACCTGGGGACAGGGGAGGGACACCCCTGTCACACCTGGGGACAGGGGAGGGACACCCCTGTCACACCTGGGGACAGGGGAGGGACACCCCTGTCACACCTGGGGACAGGGGAGGGACACCCCTGTCACACCTGGGGACAGGGGAGGGACACCCCTGTCACACCTGGGGACAGGGGAGGGACACCCCTGTCACACCTGGGGACAGGGGAGGGACACCCCTGTCACACCTGGGGACAGGGGAGGGACACCCCTGTCACACCTGGGGACAGGGGAGGGACACCCCTGTCACACCTGGGGACAGGGGAGGGACACCCCTGTCACACCTGGGGACAGGGGAGGGACACCCCTGTCACACCTGGGGACAGGGGAGGGACACCCCTGTCACACCTGGGGACAGGGGAGGGACACCCCTGTCACACCTGGGGACAGGGGAGGGACACCCCTGTCACACCTGGGGACAGGGGAGGGACACCCCTGTCACACCTGGGGACAGGGGAGGGACACCCCTGTCACACCTGGGGACAGGGGAGGGACACCCCTGTCACACCTGGGGACAGGGGAGGGACACCCCTGTCACACCTGGGGACAGGGGAGGGACACCCCTGTCACACCTGGGGACAGGGGAGGGACACCCCTGTCACACCTGGGGACAGGGGAGGGACACCCCTGTCACACCTGGGGACAGGGGAGGGACACCCCTGTCACACCTGGGGACAGGGGAGGGACACCCCTGTCACACCTGGGGACAGGGGAGGGACACCCCTGTCACACCTGGGGACAGGGGAGGGACACCCCTGTCACACCTGGGGACAGGGGAGGGACACACCTGTCACACCTGTCCCACCTGTCCCCACCTGTCCCACCTGTCCCCTCACCTGTCCCACCTGTCCTCACCTGCCTCCCGGTACTGCCCAAAGACGAGGTCGGAGGCGTCGAGCGCGGCGGCGCTGCCCACGTGCGTCCCCTCCTCGCCGTAGTTGGTCATGTAGAACGAGATCCGGCCCTGGGGGAACAGACACACCTGAGGCTGACAGGTGAGATCCCCCCCCCCAGGTGAGACCCCCCCAGGTGAGACCCTTCCACAGGTGTGAGATCCCCACAGGTGAGACCCCCCACGTGCGTCCCCTCCTCGCCGTAGTTGGTCATGTAGAACGAGATCCGGCCCTGGAGGAATGGACACCTGCAGCCCCCAGGTGAGACCCCCCAGGTGTGATCCCCCCCCTCCAGGTGTGACCCCCCCTCCAGGTGTGACCCCCCCCTCCAGGTGTGACCCCCCACGTGCGTCCCCTCCTCGCCGCAGTTGGTCATGTAGAACGAGATCCGGCCCTGTGACAGTGACACACCTGAGGCTGACAGGTGAGATCCCCACAGGTGACCCCCCTCCAGGTGAGACCCCCCGCCCCAGGTGAGACCCCACAGGTGAGACCCCCCCCGAGGTCATGCAGAACGAGATCCAGCCCTGTGACAGTGACACACCTGAGACTGACAGGTGAGGACCCCCCCCCAGGTGAGACCCCCCAGGTGAGACCCCCCCTCAGGTCACGTAGAATGAGATCCGGCCCTGTGACAGTGACACACCTGAGGCTGACAGGTGAGACACTCCCCCAGGTGAGACCCCCCCAGGTGTCCCCCAGGTGAGCCCCAGGTGTCCCCAGCTGTCCCCTAGGTGAGCCCCAGGTGTCCCCAGGTGAGCCCCAGGTGTCCCCAGGTGTCCCCCAGGTGAGCCCCATGTGTCCCCCCAGGTGTCCCCAGGTGTCCCCCCAGGTGTCCCCAGGTGTCCCCAGGTGTCCCCCAGGTGTCCCCAGGTGAGCCCCAGGTGTCCCCCAGGTGAGCCCCACATGTCCCCCCTGGTGAGCCCCAGGTGAGCCCCAGGTGTCCCCAGGTGTCCCCCAGGTGTCCCCAGGTGAGCCCCAGGTGTCCCCCAGGTGAGCCCCACATGTCCCCCCAGGTGTCCCCAGGTGAGCCCCAGGTGTCCCCAGGTGTCCCCAGGTGTCCCCAGGTGTCCCCAGGTGAGCCCCAGGTGTCCCCAGGTGTCCCCAGGCGAGCCCCAGGTGTCCCCAGGTGTCCCCCGGCCGTACCTGGCGCTGGGACTCGTACAGGATCCTGTCCATGGTGTTGAGCAGCGTCATCGTCTTGTAGAGCTTCAGCACCTGCTCCTTGGGCAGCTGTGGGGACAGGGACACACCTGGGTCACCTGGGCACACCTGGGGTCACCTGGGCACACCCGGGGACACCTGGGCACACCTGGGGTCACCTGGGCACACCTGGGCACACCCGGGGACACCTGGGGACACCTGGGCACACCTGGGGTCACCTGGGGTCACCTGGGCACACCCGGGGACACCTGGGGTCACCTGGGCACACCCAGGGACACCCGGGGACACCTGGGCACACCTGGGGTCACCTGGGCACACCCAGGGACACCCGGGGACACCTGGGCACACCTGGGGACACCTGGAGACACCTGGAGACACCTGGGGGTCACCTGGGGACACCTGGAGGACACTGGGTGTCCCAGGTGTGTCCCCCCCCATGCTCACCTGTCCCAGTTGTGTCCCAGGTGTGTCCCCTGTCCTGTGTCACCTGTCCCCAGGTGTGTCACCTGTCCCACACTCACCTGTCCCAGGTGCATCCCCAGGTGTCCCCAGGTGTGTCCCCCCCCATGCTCACCTGTCCCCAGGTGTGTCCCAGGTGTGTCCCCTGTCCTGTGTCACCTGTCCCCAGGTGTGTCACCTGTCCCACACTCACCTGTGGGTCCTCGGTGGGTCTCAGGACGTGTCCCTGCCGGTCCATCACCCGGTACACCGGGATCCCGGCCAGCACCTGCCTGTCCCACCTGTGTCCCCAGGTGTGTCCCCTGTCCCCAGGTGTGTCCCAGGTGTGTCACCTGTCCCACACTCACCTGGGGGTCCTCGGTGGGTCTCAGGACGTGTCCCTGCCGGTCCATCACCCGGTACACCGGGATCCCGGCCAGCACCTGCCTGTCCCACCTGTGTCCCCAGGTGTGTCCCCTGTCCCCAGGTGTGTCCCAGGTGTGTCACCTGTCCCACACTCACCTGGGGGTCCTCGGTGGGTCTCAGGACGTGTCCCTGCCGGTCCATCACCCGGTACACCGGGATCCCGGCCAGCACCTGCGGCTGGATGAACTCGAGGCGCTCGGCGAACTCGGCCGAGGCTCCCGGGAACTGCGGCCGCTCCTCGGGGGATTCCTGCAGGGACAGCGGGACACCGGGATTGGGGACACCGGGACAGTGGGACAGTGGGGACACCGGGACAGTGGGACAGTGGGGACAACGGGACACCGGGACAGCGGGACAGCGGGACAGTGGGGACAGTGGGACAGTGGGGACAGTGGGGACAACGGGACACCGGGACAGTGGAGACACCGGGACAGCGGGACACCGGGACAGCAGGACACCGGGACAGTGGAGACACCGGGACAGTGGAGACACCGGGACAGCGGGACAGTGGGACAGCAGGACACCGGGACAGTGGAGACACCAGGACAGCGGG